AAGAAAAATACTTAATTTTTTACAAATAGTAATGGAATAATAACCTCGCATAAACAAATTATTATTCAGTAGTCATTTTACACATTTTAGTAGCAATAAGCGATGAAGTCGCTTTATGTAAGGCGGTGAGAAAATAACAAGTGTTAAGAGAAAATATCAAAATACGGTTGAGTGAAGTTACATACATTGATATTTATAGATTCCAACAGAATCAAATGGCACTTACATAAGTGACATACGTTTTATTGCTGTAGGGCAATTTTCTATTTTCATAACAAATAACGTCTGTAACAGCAAATAACTTTTCGATAAGTCTAAAAAAATAATGATTTCTCAAAAGATCTACAAATATTAGACAACAGCACATTGAAGACTTCGATTACATCTATGAGTCAAACTTTTTAATTTATACATTTGACATTACAAGTTGGATTGAATATTCACAGCTGAGTTACCTTTGTTTGTTATTAAGTAGCTTCTTGTTATTGCCCTCATTGAGAATTGTAAAATGAGTTGAAATCACGACAAGATCATATTCACAGAAGGCACATTCAAATTATTTTAGCTTTGTTCCCATTTTGGTACTTTTATTCCAGTGGTGCATGTTTGTCTGGAGCAATTTTCTCGTCAACCGACATATCTTTGTAAGTTACAAAGACAAATAGATATATATACATTCTCTCAGTAAATTAATAAAAACAATTATAGTCTGCTTTCAGGTTAATTGAATGCGAAAATAAGTACTCGTCAACCTATTTATGATGGTGATACTTCTAAGATAGCTCAACTCGAAACATAGGTTTTCATAGATGTTCTGGTTGTTGAAAAGCAGCCATATGTGATCTCTTTTTATAATATGAAAGGGGAAGCCATTTCTTCCTAAGATCTTAATGTTACTAAGTTCTTTACGTAAATAAGTATTTATGGTTTTGTAAACACGGTGTATCTTGTTCTTCTTCAACAATATATAAACCTTCAACATTATAATAGAAAGTGTTGGATGTTTTTAAATAATGGATTGCATCTTCAGTTTAATAACTATTGCCGTAAGTTATATTGACTAATAAAAACAACTTCCTAACCTTTCGTATGTTCAATAGTATATTTAGTATTACCATATTCTTTGTTCAGATGTTCGAGAAACTGAAATGAATGCTCAAGATTCTCAAATAAGACAAAGATATTATTAATAATATAGATTGTATGAAGGCTCGACATACAAAGGACAACATTCTAGCAACTGTTAGATTATCCAGAGTATTATCATTCTTGAACCCATAGCTACTCTATTCATTTGGTCATAGATAATGTTGTTGCACATGAAATGTGACTCCTTGGTGGAAAATCCATGAAAACCACGTGCATAGGAAAACATATAGTTTTCGCCATCTTGTGATACAAATTTAGCATTCAACTATATTCTTTCTTCCAAGGGAACGTTAATATTAAAAAAGGACACAATAAACTTTAATATAAAACTATAGATGTCGTATTTCTTGTTAAAACTTTGTTTGTTTGTTTAAAAAATCCATTGTAAATTATTATAGCCTTAAAGGTGTAGATTGTATTATTTGTTTCTCATATTCAAAGACTAAATACCAATTTCAGAAACGTCTATTGTTATTAGTACACAATATGTTGGTGTCACTAGGTGTCACTACAAGCTAGAACAATTACCAAGGTGGGAACAAAGTCAAATTTACAGAAATATGCCTTATATATATGAACGATGTAGATATCTCTGAAATATTTCAAATGCTAACCATATATATAGAACCAAGACAAACTGAATGTCTGTGTAAATGTAACTGTAACTAGGGAAGATGTTTTTCATTTATATTAGGTTATTAGGACACCGAAGGTAAAAAAAAACAAGAATTATATGAACCAGTTCCATAAAATACACAAATTCAAAGGCTTGCATTCTTGAGTTTGTTTGTTTGGAGCGTAAAAACTTTTCAAAATACCCTAGAGAGTTTATCACAATCTCATTAGAGTCCTTACTGCAGGTATATAATGTAAATTGAGCCGATAAGAAGTTTTCATATTTCGAAAAACTACTTATGTAATAACTTCTACCAGAGGAGCTGCTAAAATTCTACAATAATAATTACAATTAATAATAAATAGTCTTCATTATAAGTATGAGGAAAATTACAAAAACTTCTATAGCTAATCTTCTCTAAGTAATTACTTGGATACCTTTGCTGCTAGTGGTGTTTTGGGCCCTTAACCCAAGAATACCCATCGAAGTTGAGGCTGTTTAAGGATATTACAAAGCAGAATGTGAAGCTTCATGTACCATGCCTATTGCATTTTCTCAATGTAATTATTATTATTTAATAAGAAATGTAATGTAATTTATTATTTTACTTAATAATATGAATAACTAAGATACAAGTTGAATTATTTAAATTTAGTGCTGTAAATTACTACAAATCACAAAATTGCATACAGCGTATGTCTTACTTAGATTTTACCCTTAACCGATAGCCGGGCTATTGTTTTCACTTCCGTGTGTCAGTTTGAGGAGCACAACTCAAAGTGTGAGTCAGCTGTTCATCAAGATTTGTACAAGTGAGTGTTTCCCAAAGACCGATTTATTAACATATGGTGAATTTAGCTCAAAGGTAAAGGTCACAATAAAAGTCAACGTCTTTTATTCTAATGGTAGCAAACTGAGATTGAAAAACGATCAAAACTCGAGAACAACTCGAAATAAAAGGAAAATCTTGGTACCTAGAACTACATTTTGGAAGGTGAAGAATTTAAGCTGGTTGCTGCAAAAGTAAAAAGAAAAAAAATTGAGAGGCGGGTTTTGCATTCTCTGACTGCTTTTCTAATTATATTATTCTCTTTGTTGTAATTAGGATATTTTACACAATTTTAATTTTTATAGTATCGATTTGATTAAAGGTATGTTCAGTAGTTACAATATTTTAATACACTGTTGTATCCTATACACCTCTAACCAACTCTTTCCTCAACATACCTGTCTACCCTCTTACTTGTTGAGATTGAAACAATCCGTTCAGAATACCTATTTTTTCTGTTGTGTGTAATGATTTTGTTGTATCCCATATTTTTAGTCTTCTTTTTTTTTCTTTAAAAAATTTATTCAACTTTAATTACTCTGAATTAATTTTGTTTCTAACTTAGACCTACGAGAAGCAATACCTCAAAAGTTGTTGGGTAAATATACCAGTTTTTGGATTTATAGAACTTCTTTTTTTTATTTCTCTATTACCTCATTACTTATGCAATATTATGTTTACATTAACTGACACTGGTTACTAGTTTATAAAAAACAGAAAATAAACCACATTATCATGTACATTACCTCGTCAGTAACCCAGAACCCAACCATGGATGTAATAACACATACTCGTCTGATTTTTCCAATATCGTAGGACTGCTGAGAATAACCTGAAATAACAGAAAAAACACACGAAATGCTCATTTATACGATCTGCACACACACATACAAAAACAGTCTTACAGGAAAACTTCAACAAATACATACTGCAGTGAGCTATCTGTGCTGTGCTTTGGGTAATTGTGAGTTATATTTTCAGACATATAATATTTATGTTGAAAATGTGATTCCTCTTAACCTAAACCTACGTACCTCAACAGTCTCTGGTTTGTAAAATGCTACAATCGGTTGTATTCCAATCCAAAACCGAAAAATCCTTTCTTTGTCAAACATGTGAGAGAAACCGCAGAGAATTTGGAAGAACACTAGAAATATAGAAAAAAGCATCAATGTATATATATATATATATATATTGGGGTATATATGTATACAGATGAACAAACCAGTGGAGTCTGAACGAGCAATAAATATAGAAAATGCAGATCAATAAGTACCTGTTCTTATGACTGTAGCATATATATATGAGCAAAATAAAGCAGCTTAGACTAGGTTTAAAGTAGTCAGTTACACCGATACCACTGCTCTAGCCATGGCTACCAGTTGTTAGATAG